AAAAGCTGCTATGAAAAAAATGTTTTAAAAATTAGATTAAAAATTGCTATTTCATTACTTTAATTTTGTGAATCAATTAATATGATATATTTTCTGATATGTATAAGACATGAATGGGGTAAAGATTTCTTCAGGAATCGAGATCCAAACTTCCACAGCACCTTCGTTATTTCCAGGGCTACATTTCTTTTTCTAATATGTGTCCTCAATACAAAGATATTTGTGTCCCAATCTTAAGTCACAGTATCACCCTTCCTTCTTGCCACATAGCACTCAGTTGACCTTGCCCTTTGGATCTAATCAAGTTTTCCCATCCTTCTTAACAGTCATACAATCATCCATGGGCTCACTGTCCCAACTCTTGGCTGGCAGACTGTTCACCAACATCTCACTGTTAAAGCCCACTGACTTCCAGAAGTATTGTCCTTGACTCTATAAAGCTTTTATTAAACTGATACAAACAGTTAGTTACAGTTTATATTTTAAACTACAGTTATGAAGTCAAGACAATGCCAGTGATATTTCACATAGTAATACTGTTTCATTTCATGTAGAATCATTCATTGTAGATAGACAAATTAAATTAGATGCTTGCATATGATGTGTATGTTACAACAACAATCAAAAGAGCATGGGGCTGGGCTATACACACAGAAAACATAACGTCTGTCCTGTGCGGTTAGTTTTCTCTCCGGCTCAGACAGGTTGAGCCTTGAGTCTGAGACAATGTTTAAAACATTTCAAATTGCACATTACTTACGATATTCAATATTACAACATTCACATCATTTATATCAATGTTTACAAACTTACTGTCAATCCACTGTGAATAGTACCACTTGTGTGCATGTTAGTCCTTCTGCGAGCACACTCCACAAACAACAATCAGACACATTCATACAAACAAAGATTGCTCAATAGCACTCCTAGTGGTCAAAAACTGCACAGAGCACCTTTAAGTAACAATAGAACTGAATGTAATATGTTGCCTAAAGCACACATATTCTTTTGGGCTCCAACGCATTCTTGATGACAACTGACATGCAGTTTGCAAATGGATTTCTGGATTGTTGTTTAGATGTGTTGTCACTGTAATGTACTATCAATGATTGCTTGTTGTTTTCTTTGTTAAAACAGAGCTGTGAGTTTCTGAAAATTTGACTGTGAGTCAACTCACAATAAGGCAGTCAAACAACAAAGCCTTTAGTAGCAATCTCTTCAGTAAAGTAATGAAAAAATAATCTGCTCTTTCCATGAAAAGATGTGTGGTTAGTTCCTCTGATTAATTTTCATGTCATACGTTGAGTTATTGAACTATAATAACAGTGGAACACAATGAGTGAGTTGTGGAAAGAATACATCCGTATGTGGAAAACCTCCATGTTTTTCTAGTCACAGCCCTAACAAAGAAACAGGCAGATTAACCAATGGTACTGCACAGTAATATTTCATGAATTTGAATTACATTAACATATGCTTCCTTATTCCTCATATTTATCTATTTTATTTTCAGAAATTACACATTTTCTCACTTTTTATTTCTTAAAAAAATGTAATGAAGCCACAGAAGATCAAACTTAATGAAAAGCAGTTGCTGCTCGTCTATAGATCAAACGACTTCAAGAGCTGTCACCACAATCATTGTCATCTTACAGCACTTGAGCCTTTAGTTTCATTTCATATGAAACAGTGCTCCACGCTACATCTATCATCTGCCTGCTTGACTTGCACCTGCTATGTAAGTTGTGCAGTTAAGTGAATGGTGACATATGTGGCTCAGTAATAAAGTCTTTATGAAGCCAAATTAGAAAGGTCCAAACCTTAGATTAAAGTAGACGTCGATTTAATAAACTCACATGATATAATTATTGAATTTTTATTGTGCGCTGTGCGTATGCAGGAGACACAGACGCAGAGAACGACAGATACTGCCCCTGTTTTCTGCTGTTTTCTATTTTTTTGTGACTTGGTGTCAGTGTATTTGAGCAGCACAAAGGCCCCTGCTTGCTGACATGCGTCTGCTAAGAGGTAAGCCAAACATCTGTCTCCTGTCACAAGCCTTCACATGCCTCCCTCTGCCCAACAAGCTATGATAAGCCACCATCGGTTCAGTGTTCGTGCAATCTTAAAGCAATCTTGGAGATGGGTGGATGGGTTAAGAGGAAATCTGAGCTTTTAAAAGTGCAAGGGGAGTTAGGATCAGATGTTAAATTAACTCCACTGTTTTAAGCTCAAAGGACACTCAGGACACACCTCTTAATAGAAGTCAGTGCTGCTGAGGAGATCAGTGCAGACGGAGCCTGGTCTGTACGTACACATGTCTCTGGCTCTGAGCATTTTGTCCTCTGCAAACTCCAACAAAGCAAAACTATTATGCAAAGAGGGGGTATTCAAGAAGAGAGGATTAGTAACCAGATCTGTTAAAAAGTGGATTTTCTGTTCTGTAAATGCTGCTCCTAGAAAACCACTAGCAAAAGTAAATAACTACATCTTTAGTAGAACATAATTTGCTCGATTATCTGCATGTTTTAATCCATGTAGACAAGCCAATAACCATAATTCTAGATCATAGCATCACACTGAGAGAATATCATTTTTATTTCAGATACTGTTGCACACTGATTAAAAATGGACGAAGTACATTGAACAATATTTTACTCAAAATAAATATTAAGGGGCAGATAACCAGACGGA